CCGTCTGATGCATGTGAAAGGCCAGGAATGAATTTCCTCAAAAGCTTGGTAACCGTAGACAGCAACCAAAAACCCTTCCTCCTCACCTGATGAACATCTATAACAAAGTAAATCACCAATCTTAACAGAATATGCACAATTAAAAACGTCTGGTGTAATCTCTAATTGTTAGTATACATACACTGAACAGTTCAAAGTCATATCTGTAATAAGGCTCTACACTCTTGGAAAGAGTATCACGTTCCATATTTCGAGGCTCGATCACTTCTTTTTCAAGCATCTTCCACCGTTCATGGAATTGCAGCTGGACCATTTTTGGTTACAAACTTATCAGTATATTGAAGTATCCTTATAATGAAATTCATTAAAAAAGAAAATCTTAACTTAAAGCAGACACATTTTGTAACAAACCAAAAAATTTACGTAAAGCCTAATGGGATTGGAAAATAAACAGAAAAGGGGAGTTCAATGCAGCATAAACAATCTAAACGAAAAAAAGTGGGAGGGAGCCCTTTCAAGACAGATTCCTACAGGATTATCATATATCTAACCTCTACAAGAGAGACTTGGTTGATTGGAAAATAGACAGAAAAGGGGAGTTCAATGCAGGAGACTCCCGGAAATGCAGGGAGTAGAAAATAAACAATCCAAACGAAAAGAAGTGGGAAGGGGGCCCTTTCAAGACGGACTTCCACAGCATTATCATATATCTAACCTCTACAAGAGAGACTTGGTTGATTGCAATGACGTCATAAATGAGGTATCTTCGGTCTTGCTTTTGAGTGTTTGGGTCAGTGTCAATTATCATCTCTCCATCAAGTAAAGTGAAGTTGTGGGTCTTCTCAGGTATAACCTTATGAAGAACAATTACAAAAATGGTAGGGAGTCAATTGCAGATAACTTCAAATGATACTAGACGTGTTCCATGATGTATCAAAACTGCAAGCACATACACACCTTATTTGAGAATTTGCAGGGGAACCGCATCTGGACCCGTCGGAAAAAAAATTTCCTATCAATCAAATAACAGCCGTCCCATGTAATTAGCATCATATAACGTGTTCCATCGGCTTTCCACGTGGCATAGTAATAGCGCTGTCGTAATAGTTGTTGGTTGTCCCTACAGAGTACAAAGTGATATTAAAACCTTGGAAATGGAGGCAAGATCAACGTAAAGTACTGAATTTAGTGTTGAATGAACCATAAAACAAGTAGGTTTAAAATGATACCGTGCCTTTAATACTTAACGCAATTAGTCTCCAGCCTGAACCAACTAAAAAGTAAAATCTGGAAACCCATATCGCGCAGATATTATTCACTACAAAACCATAACACATTCTATACCTGTTTAATCTATAGACTGCATTGCAAACAGGTTAGCAAAGTTAGGTGCCGAAAAATTAGTAGAACTGAATTTATAAGCAAAACGGAAATTAGCCAAGAAAATCAGCTGTCCATTAATAAGAACATATTTTTAATGATAACTTCATTCGCCTAAAATTGGTACTGAACTTCCTAATTACAAACTGAAAATATCCACGTTAATACATAACCTTCATCCGTCCAGTTAAATTACGTACTGAAATGAAAATACCACCTTCAGTTTATAATGCTAAAAGCAAAAGAGTCAAAACCACTAGAAGTACAGAACTATCATTGATACAGCTATTGTTGGAACAAACCTGTTGAGCGAAACAGGATGCGACCCAGGAAATTGTAAATTTCCTTTACCCTGAAAACACAGCCAGAAATAAATTCATCAGAATATAATAACAGCAACATCATGAAGAAGGTGAAGCAATAAAATGTTCATGTTTCATCTTAATATACAAATCATAACACAAGGAACTAGACTTGAGTACCTACCCTTTTCTCCATCTTGAGTAAATCATAAACAGCTTCTTGCATCGATTTTTGCTGGTTATAAGGTATTCGTTCACCCAAAACATCATCAATCGTCATTGCTTCATTTCTTGCATGATACCCCTAATACATTCAAAAAATAAAAAAAAATAAACAAAAGGAAAAATCCACTTTCAGTCACAATCAGCAAAAGTGGCAGGTGCAATTTGTTTTCCGAGCAAAGAACTTAGAAGTGTTTAACTGCAACTGGTTCTTTAAGGGTACCATTATTGGCACTCCAAAAATCTCATTGTGCACTCCTCATAAGTGTATTTTTCTTTCTAAATATAGATAGATTGGACTGCCAATAGCAGCACCGATGTTTCACTTCATTACTAACAAAACCACTCAGAAGAATCATAAACAACTAAAAAGACAGCCAACAACAACGTAATGCTTCCAGTTCCTGACAATTAAGTGTGTGCATTAAACCATAAAAAATCTACGTAGGCTTCCCTTCTAATTACATTATCCTAAAGTATTTAGAAAAAGGAAAAATCATTGCCAAATTTATTTGTCATGTATCACTACAATTCCCTAAGCTTAAGCCATTTTGCATTACCAAGCAAATGCAGTCTCAATTCACGCAGACACATACACAACTACTAGTGTATTATTATTGCCTGTACCGCAGTTTGAATTTCATCATCAAAAAATATCACAACCGCGGTTTCTAACAAATAATCTGCATATAAGTTAAACAATACATACATTGTCCTGATGCATCACAGCTTCTGCTTTTTCATCAAGATGGGAAACTCTCTTCCACTCAGGAGTTTGAGGGCAAACAACTGATTCCGGCTTTCTTTCTTGATAAAACTTGTACAGTTCATCAATATAGTCCTGTTTGTATATCCCTGGAGGACGTGCCCTGGCAAATGTATCTATTGCCTGCAGAATTGTCAGTCCAGAAAGATGTAATGAAAATTTCTTGAATCATAGCATACATTCAATCAGAACAAAAGTAACTACCACACAACCAAGTACTTACCTGGGTAACTGAAATTGATTCGTTGCGTACAAGAAAATGAACAATCATGAAACCTGTGCGGTTATGCCCATGCGTACAGTGAACAAGTATATACCTCATTGGGTCTGTTCTATGGGAGAAAAATTGTGATACCTATGCGAACAAAAAAATCACAAAATCAGACATATTCCTTCTTGACTTTCAATTGGGGGTCCCATGAAATCGTAAAACTAGTGCAGGCAGCTCACCTCATAAAGAAATTTATCTACAGCTGCATTATCGGGTGCGGAATCCCTTCCTCTGCATTGTATCTGGCGCAAACAAATTTGAGGACATAAGTAAAGAAGTAAACTTACCTCACTAACTAGGACCAGAAAACACAAATACACTTGCCTTAACATGCTGAATGCCTTCTTTTGTCCAATCCGAAAGGGGATAGTAACGAGTAGTGTTCGTTAAATCAATCACTAAACCGAGCTGGAAACGTAAAAATCAATCAGCATAACAACTTCGTACAAGATAAAGTACAGTACTTTACGAAAAAAGGAATATAATTACTTCTCTTCCTAGCAGTCTTTGCTGATGAATGACTTGCTTTGGAGTGTATGTTTCACCAGCAATATGGTCATTGAAAGACTCACCAAGAGGTACTTTTGATGGAATTATACAGCTTATTTCTCCACCATTTGCAGGGCAACCAACCCAACCTACACCGCGACCAAAAACCCAATTAACTACTAATACCACATGATTAATCCATGATAACCAATCACAGTAATCCAATCACTAGTCAGTTTTAGCATTGCCTACCTTCAGGGAGCATGTGTTGATCAAAAGCTTGATGATGATTTCTGTTCTGAAACCCAGAATCCTGATATCGGTTTTTTCTCTTGAATCCCAAATTTCTTTCTTCTCCATCCTAATTAAAAATCAAGCACAACCCAACAAATGAACCAATTAACAAATCGAAATGATGTGATTACACAATTAAATCCCAATTTTCGTTTTTTGTATTCAATTTTTTCCCCACTTTTTGAGATTGGGATTTTGAAGATAGAGCATAATTAAAGAGTGATGTTGATCTGTGTGTGTTACCATTTGACTAGGGTTTCTTCAATCTGCTGAATCGATGGGACTCAGACAGTAATCAGGGTTTTGGGTTTGGATGGATCAGACTGACTTGAGAGAGAAGTTGAGAGAGATGGAAACAGGAGAGAGAGAAAACGGTTACAATGAAACGATGCGTTTATAAAGCTTGAGGAACCGCCACTACTTTGCACCAATTTGTGTTCATACTTCTGGTTTTTTTTGGAAGACCACACTACTTTAATGATTTAAAAAATAAAAAATCATCGATCGAGAAGTAAAACATTGATAAGATAATTAACATACTCTACTACTAGTGAAATGGATAGATGGCCTCACGAATTATCTATGTAACGTGACGTATGATAAAAAATACGTATGAATAAGAGTGACGTATTATTCACGTCACGTCACATAGATGACTCGTTAGACCATCCATCCATTTCGCTAATAGTAGAGTATGTTAATTAATGTTTTACTTCTAGTACAACATTGATCAATTTTTTAGATTGAGTTGCCAAAATGATTAGTTAAATCAATTTCATTTGTACCAGAAGTAAAACATTGATAAGATAATTAACATACTCTACTACTAGTAAAATGGATAGATGGCCTCATGAATCATTTATGTGACATGACGTGAATAATACGTCACTCTTATTCATGTACAGTTTTTATCATAAATAGTGTCTAAAATTGACTTAACTCATCATTTTGACAACTCAATCTCAAAATCAATCAATGATGTCCCATAAAAGAGTGAAAGTGTATTTGCACCAAATTTAAAGAATATTAAAAAAAATACTTACATGCATTTAATACAATCATATCTTAATAATAATTTCATTAAATACATGTATATTCACATGAATTATATATAAACGAGAAAAAAAAAAAACAATTTTTGAGTTATTCATGTTTTGGGCTTGAATTTCATGAGTCAACTTAACAATAATGGGTCCACATAAGCCCATCTTGCTGGCCGGTCCAGTAGTTAGACGGTATCTTACAAAGCACACCGTATCGTGTGCAGTAAAACTTAGAAGACCTTTGCCCCGATTTCGAGCCCTAAAGTTAAATCTTCCTGTGCGGCACACATACAGATCCCCGTCTCACTCTCCCGCTTCGTTTGTTTGGTTGAAGAAGCTTCGAAGCCCTAGCTGTCATTTCTCTCTCTCTCTCGCCACAATGAAGCTCGTCAGGTTCGTCTTCCTCCTAAAACCCTAATTCCTCTTCTTCCTCAGTTAACTGCGCAGTTTATTTTGTACTGATATGCCTTTTTTTTTTTTTTTGGGGAAAATTTGCCAGGTTTTTGATGAAGTTGAACAACGAGACAGTGTCGATCGAGCTCAAAAACGGCACCGTTGTGAACGGAACCATCACGGGTACTTCTCGTTTCCTCGCTGTACTCTCTTTCTTTCTAGTTTGTTGAATTAGGTGAGGTTTTTGGATAATAGGGTTTTTGTTTGGTTTGGATTTTGATTTTCTTGTTTGTAGAAGAAGTGGGTCTTGTTTAGGTTTAATTTCTGTTTCGTATCAGTTATACTGCGCACGAAGACTTCGATTTTTATAGTGAAATATGGAATGCATAATTTTTTTATTTATTTTTCTCCTTGTGGAGCATCTCCAGTGAACCAAGCGGGGAGCTTTGTTCCCTCTGGAGATTTCTAGAAATATGGTTTTGCTCATCCGGTGCTACCATTTCGTATAAATGGACCATGTGGAAGCATTGCTCAAACATTGAGTCGGTGCGAGTTTAAAGTATACCAGGGATGCAATTAAGTCTAATTTTGTTGAGTTGGTAATGTCTTATTCAGTAATTGTAGTTTTTCTGCTTGCCTAAATTACTCGGTAGAGTTTGAGACTACTTGAATGATTTTCTTACTTGGTATTATGAAGTAGTTGTAGCACACAAAATTGACAGGTTTCCACAATTGATTATAATTTATTATAGTATATATGTTCATTTTCTGGGCATCTATATCATTGTGATTTCTGATGGATAGAATTCCTGGGGAATTCTTATCCTTTATGCTGAGAACAAACATATGTCAAAATCTGTTGTGTACTACAACAAGCTTCTATTTTCCTTTTAAAGTTGCTGGCTCAGAGAGTCCGGAGACTCAAGGCTTAGAAGTGTGCTCAGCATTGGATTCCTGAGAGTTGGGATGTAGTTTTGCTTTATCTCTAAACTATGGATGCCATTTTCAGCATGTAATCTGCACGAGCACCCATGATTACTTCCGTTTATTGCATGATAATCAATTCCTTATCTCAGCAGAAGCTTCAGAATATCCGCACAACATTTGAGTTTAAAATGTGGACTGGCAAGAATATGCTTTTAAGTTTGATGCTCACGTTACAGACACTGAAAGCTTATTATGGCTTTTCAAACATTAGACAATGTTTGTAATGAAAAGTATGACCATTTCTTTACATGCGTAGTATAAATACATTGGCGAAACAGCTCTGGTTGTGTTATTAGTCACCAAAGGAGATCACTGTGTAGTGAATAATATCATCCAGTAAAGGTTGAAGAAGCTTCAGCTTTCTGCAACTGGACTGCCTTGTAGAGATAAATTTAGAGTTTTTAACTTAAACTTCGTAAATAGATTGTAATCTTGATTTGGATGCACACTTCCACATGGGTTGTTTTCAACTACTTAACAGGGACGAAAAAGTAGCTATTCTGATTGGTAACTTTGCTTATTGTTACAGGTGTGGATATCAGTATGAATACTCATTTGAAGACGGTGAAACTTACACTCAAGGGGAAGAACCCAGTGACTCTGGATCATCTCAGCGTGAGGGGTAACAACATTCGATACTATATCCTTCCTGACAGCCTGAATCTCGAGACTTTGCTGGTTGAAGAGACACCTAGGGTCAAGCCCAAGAAGCCAACTGCAGGTACTGCAAACTTTTGTTTGTCATAAAAACTTTCGAAATGTATTCATTCCTCTGCTATCACGCTTGAACTTGCCATTAATCATGTAAATATATTTCCTCTGTTTATTTTCAATTACAGGGAGGCCTATGGGACGGGGACGTGGCCGTGGACGTGGTCGCGGACGTGGCCGTGGGCGTTAATTTTTGTGGCACCTGGTTATGTAGACACAACCTCTGTAGGAAGGAACTTGTCATTGTGATCTTGTTGCGGTACGGTACTTTAATTTGTTGTCTATGCCGAGTGAATTCTTTAAGTTTTGTTAAGAAGCTGATCAAATATGCTTTTGACATCTCATATCTAGTTCTTCATTTTCAATTTGGGTGTCGACTGTCGAGGCATTGTGTGAAGTTGATGAATGTTTACTGAGATTTGATAGTATATGAATATAAAATGTTGGCTTAGCTGCTGTTTTTGCTTGGGTTAAAATTCGTAACGAATCCTGATAGTGTAAAAACTACTGTTAATTTTGTTATGATTGGGTTCGACTGTAGAATCTCGGATGACCGACGAAGTGTCTTTAACTACTTGAGTTACAAGTTCTTAAGTGGACTACTCAAAAGCCATTTGTAGCCTGAAAATAGTTGGCTGTTTATACGCAATTACTCGGGAGTATGTTTGGAAGTACATTTAAAACAATTAAACGTATTTTTAGATCGCCAGAAGTGGTTTTTGCCATGTGTGACAAAAAGTTATAATCCTAAAACACTTCTTTGAGTAAGCACTTAATTAAGTATTTGCCCAGTGATCACTTGCTTTTTTATGCAAAATTTCAAAGTGTTTCTAATAGAAGCGCTTTTCCTGATAGTGATTCTGAGCATAAGTATATTTTCAAGAAGCAATTCCAAAATGAACCGAAAGTGTTTTACAAAATGGCTAGTAGTGTTCTCTAGATTTGGCTTTTCTTTATAAATACTAGCATATGGGTACACACAAAGTGTGAAATTTTTTTATTTTTTGTTTTTGAAATAGAAGGAGAGAGGAAGAGAGTGATACATAATGTGAGAGAGAGAAGTTTTTATTTTTTATTTTTATTTTTTATAATTAGAGATATGCTAGGATTACATGTCGGTGAGGTTTTGAAGAAAAAAACAGTAAAATTTGGTTGTGTGAAATTACATTTCTGCCCCATATTTCTTATTCTTGTTGTGTTTTAATTAGAGGGTTAAACTGGTAATTTTATAAGATTTTGATTAATAATGAGTGTTTTATTAATTAGTAGAGATATAAGCAATTTGTTAGTGACTAAACCTAATAGTTCCTCCCTAGTTCAAGCACTAAGTAAGCAAGCTCCCTCTCCTTGTAGTCGACCAAGTAAACTACCTTCTTGTTCAGGTATGTTTTCGACTGTTTTTATAGAAGTGTTTTTTGAAGCGTGTGCTTCTGTGTTAAACTCTCCTGATTCTGACAATTTGGTCAAACGCATTTAGAAGCACCTAAAAATTAGAAAGCACTTTTACTCCATAAGCAATCCAAACAAGCCCTTAATAAATAAAGGAGTAACTCGACATCGTATTCCTATCCTGGTTTACTGATCCACTTGTCACCAAACACGGGGCCTTAACCCCAAAATCCAAACAAACCGTGTATGTGTATAAAATATATATATATCAATATTCCGAGGCACCTGCAACGAGACCCGAGAGATCAACGCCACAAATATTTCAAATTCGTCAAACTTTTTCAACAGAAGAAAAAGAAACCGGGGATGGGAAAAGCGTCGGGAGCGAAGCAAGCGGCGCTGGTGTTCGGAGCCCTAGCCGTCGGGTGGCTGGCCATAGAGCTCGCCTTCAAGCCCTTCCTCGACAAAGCCCGCTCCGCCATGAACAAGTCCGACCCGGCCCGCGATCCCGACGAAGACGATGCCGTCAAGGCTGCCGAGGCCACCGTTAATACTGCCCAGGCCACCGTTGAAGCTGCCCAGGCCACCGTTAAAGCTGCAGAGATCGCCGTCGACGAAGCCTCTGCACCTCTGTAAGGTAGCAGACTCGAACACTACTACTACTAGTGCAGTCTACACCGAATCGATAGGCAATAACGATGGGGGTTTTGGAATATTACGATCTGGGATTAATCAAATTTTAAGAGCTTTGTTACTATTTACTGTGTGAATTCGAAAATTGTTGGAATTTTAGAATCGAGGGAATTACTGGCTTTTGAATTTTTCTTTCTGTTTAATCACTATTAATTAATGCTTGTTAATTATAATTAGATTCTAAATTTTAGATTTTAGGGTTTTGGATTTGGTTGCTGTAATTGCAATTTTTACTGAACAAGGAGTCGAGGGCGACTTTTCGTGGAAGAGAAGTAGATTGTTCTAGAAACCCATGGTTTTACAGAAATCCCTGGGTTGTTTCGACTCAGTTGACTTGGGTGTATTTTTGGGCCCTCTGTGATGATGGGTTTGTTGTACTGAGGCCCACGTCTCGTCACACTATCCCTAAAGCCCATAAGAACCTGGAGCCTGCCGCTTATGTTTTGTGCGAGTTGGGAAGGGGACTCGAACACGGACATTTCCTTACGTTTTTTAGGTCATTTCGAATCAAATGGGTTATGTTTAGTCTTTTTTTAAATTATAATTTTGCAAGAAATTATTTTTTTTAATAAACAGTATGGGATCATATTTATATATCATCTTCAATCGAATGAACAAAACATAATCCTTTAATAATTTATTAGTTTTAAATTTATTCTTTAAATTGATTAATTAATTTAATTAAACTACGAATAATTATTCGGAGCTGAGAAGGGGGGTTAATTGCGCCACAGTCCCAAGTACATGACAAAAACTTATGCTTGCTCTGCTCCCCAGAACACTCTAAAACAAATAAATATAACATAAATGTAAATTAAAGTACCAATTGGTACCAACCCTGGACGTTGGATCTGTCCAATTCCTTGTAGCTGCAGCTGTTGGGGCCCATAAAATGGGTTGGATACCAGGCCAACTTTGGCCAACCCGATAGCCCTTAGGCAAAGTTTTAGCCTGGTGGGTTTCATTAATTTTTGGCCCAGCCTTCGGTTTTGTTCAACTCAAGCTATATTTTGGCCTTATAGCCCTTTAGCCTTCTCCATTGGAGATGACTTTAGTCACTTGGGTTATAAGTTAGTTCAACAAATCCAATTATTTTCACGACATTTGCTTTCACTATTTAGGTGTTGAAATTTATTGTCTTAAAGTTATGTTTGAGTTACTAAATTTATCGTAGATAAGAAATTGATCGGAAAAATTGGCTTTGGCCCAAACTTATGATCTAATTCCTATTTGACAATTCAACTTCTGAGCCCTCTAATCTTTTAAAACGTGTCAATTCCTCTTCTCCCTTCCTCCTCGCACCGAGTGTTAAAGTGGTTGAATTTTCAGTCGTTTCTATTGGCAATGTCATTCGAAACAACGAGAATAACCCTTATTTTCAGGATAGTTAGACAAATTAGACGATAAGGACAAATCGACACGTTTTGAAAGATTATGGAGCTCGTGACAAAATTGAAAGTCCAAAGGTAAATATGAAGAAATCAAGTGGGAATTGATAACTAACTTAAGAGCATGTTTACTTACTTGAAATGAGTTCATGCATGGAATAAACTACTATGACGATTTGATACCGGATTATATAGATATAGGATAATTGATATTAACGTGAGTCATGCTACATGTGATAGTAAACGCATGATATCTTAGGTGAAGAATCTTATATAGGAGAGCCGCATAATTAGGTTTATAGCTATGTTGGCACGAGTGGGGTCGGATTTACTTAAGAGCAAGAGGGGGTTAGTGTTTTTGCAAAAGTGAGTTAGGGCAAGGAAGAGACGCACTGAAATTTCTTTTCTATGTCAGGAATGAGATGTGAGGATATGATGAGATGAGAGAAAATTGATTAATTTGGTTTGTACATATGAAACGAAGATTTAGAGATGTTCCGGTTTGAAAATTTGATTATGTGACAGAGATTAGGGCAAAAGAGAGGGAAATTTTTTTTTAAAAAAAAATATGAAATACTGAGAACTAATGAAAGATTTGGCGCAAAATTGAGTCCAATGGTGTTATTTAATTCATACCACTATTTTCTGGCATAACTACATGAAAGTTTAATTTTGTAAGCCAATTACATGGAGCCACGCGAAGGCTGAAAGGGACCATAACAATCTCTACGCTAAACCCTCGAAACGGAAAACGTAATAATCCGTTATTATATGTCCTTCGTGCAATCTGAGCTTAATTAGGGCATTTTCAAGCAAATAAAGATCGATGTCAATATACCAACTGATGATGTTTGGTACATTAAATTTCTTTTAAATAAAGATAAAATGACAAAATTTGAGGGTATTTTTGTTATTTTGATTCTTAATTAACAAATTTTTTTAAGGAACGACTAATATGATTGATAGTAGACAATCGCACAGTGAGTTCAACAGTAACCTTCCACCAAAAACATATGAAAATTGTTAACATGGAAAGTGACGCACAAACCTCTTCGATTTGATTAACAAGATACTAGCATATGGGCAAGGATGGATCCACATAGGGACCAGGGAGGTCCCAGGACCCGTTGGCAATCCTAAATCGTTGCTATAAATTTTCCGGGGACCCCTCGTACTCGAGCATGAGGTCTGTGTAGGTTGCAGTGGCTGTCTTCTTCTCGGAGAAGATGACCGCCCACGGAGAAGAAAGAAATAGGGACCTTTCCTGCCTCTCTCCTCCTTGCTTCTGCCATGGTCTCATCCGTCGGTGCCACCCACTTCTCCTCCAACCTTTCTCTGTCGTCTGGCGGGGGCAGTATATAAGCCCAAACTTTCCCAAATTATTTCAACCATCTTAGTAATTTTTCTTATGGGTGAAATTTCCTTCATAAGGTTAGTAAGATGGATATGATCTGTCATGGGTTGGTGAAATTTGGTGATGGAGCTACCATGGCTTCGGGAGAATGGGGAGGGAAGCGGTTGGTGGAGGTATGGCAGCTTTGTTCTTAGTGAGAGAAAAGGTGGATGTTTGGAAACTAGTAAAAGAGAAAAATGGTGTGTTTGGTTAGAAAGATAGTGGGAGTTTGGGGAGAGTTTTATTTGACCGGTGTTTTAAATTGGGGTGTGCTATCCACACACCCTTTTAATTTGCGGCCGTCGGATCGACTAAATTAAAGAAGATCAAATGACAGAAATAAACAAAGAGTGTGTGAGAAGCAAACAGGGGTGTGTGAATAGCACACCCCTTTAAATTTAGTGCTTCATATTAGATAATCAATAACTTAGGTACTCCCTAGTAACTTATGAAACCTTGTAATGGACACTTGAATTATGATTTTGTAATTTGTAATATTCTTTTGTATATGATTTTTGAATGAAATGTATTATATTTAAATTTTCAATGTTATTTTTGTCTATAATTTTTTTGACCTTTATAATTGGGACCCCCCGAGTTTAAAATCCTGGATCCGCCACTGCATATGGGCACACACAAAGTGTGAGAAATTTTTTTATTTTTGTTTTTGAAATAGAAGGAGAGAGGAAGAGAGTGGTAGAGAATGTAGGAGTGGAAAGTTTTTTTTTTTTTTTTTTTTTTTTCTCTCTAAATTAGAGACATGATAGGATTACATGTAGGTAAGGCTTTGAAATAAAAACAGCAAAATTTGGTTGTGTAAAATTACATTTATGTCTCATATTTCTTATTCATATTCTGCTTTAATTAGAGGGTTAAACTGGTAATTTCATAGGGTTTTGGTTGACAATTAGTGTTTTATTAATTAGTATAGAAGATTATCGGATTCTGCCATCTGGGTTCCTCAAGGGTTCCTGCCTTTCTCACATTAGAAACCTCAAAAAAAATCAAAGGTTGAATCCTTGATTATGTTTGGAGCTTCTTTGTTGTTCGTGTGAGCTCATGGCAATGAGGTTAGTAAAACAAAACCCAGTTCCCCCCTCTCCGTTTCTTAATGTTGATTAGGCAAATGATTAGTTTCTTACGATGTATAGACATGGACACAGAAATAAGACACGATATAGTAAGGATACGATATAAAAGCGTTTGAAAAGCATTGAAATTTTAACTTATATAACAAAAGGGAGCAACAAGAAAGCATATCGAGATTATAACTTGGTACTTGTCTGAAGGACTAGAGCTGTTTTCTTGCCCCTCAAGATTTTCACCCTGCCCACCTTCTAATTGGGTTTGGTCTTTACTAGTTGTAGTACTTGATCATATATGTCGTAAGCGTGCGCGTACCACATTGACTAGAGTAGATTTGCTTCTCCTATGCACGTAAGTTCGAATCACCTTCCCACAATGTAGATTAGTTTAAAGTAAAATATTGCATGCATCAAAAAGATGAAGTAGATGCCTCATGTGCCCGAGGTATGATCAAATCCATGTTGTTCTTGTTTCTCCTTATATTTTGGGTCTGTAGACATCGAAATTTCAGTAAAACAAATGTTCACCAATGCATTAAAGTTTTGACGTGTCAAGGCATACATGGCATACGCCACGTGTTGTACAAATTGTACACATGGCGTGTGACTCAACAAAATAGGAAGAAATACCCTTGAAGGATTAAACAAGTTTTTCTTCTCATTTTGGGCAATGACAAGGCAAGTACATTTCAATCCATTGAGGATCAAAACAAGTTTTTCTTCTCATGTTGGGCAATGACAAGGCAATCACACTTCAATCCATTACGGATCAAAGCAAGTTTTTCTCATTTGGGCAATGACAAAGCATACACATTTCAAGTTTAAAATGGTGTTAAGTGGGAAATTAGGCCATAAGTTAGACCACTTCAAGTTTAAAATGGTATTAAGTGGGAAATTAGGCCATAAGTTAGACCACTTCAAGTTTAAAATGGTATTAAGTGGGAAATTAGGCCATAAGTTACACCACTTCAATTTCAATATTGCATTAAGTGGGAAAATTAGGCAATGGTGCTTGGAAAGAAAAAAAATATTTTGTGGTGGTGATTCATTCTCAAAGCCTATAAATAGGCTTCTCCATCAAGGTATCAAGCATCAACCAATTCACAAATACATTTCTCTATTCCCAAATTGGAGGGGGAACACACCAAAACCTTGAAGCCTTGAAGCTCTAAAGCTCTCAAGAAAATCCCGAAGGATCAAGAAAGCAATCTTCGTTCTTCGTCAAATCCTCCTTCAAGATCAAGCCCCAACGGCCCTTGAAGAACTCCCACCAACTCAAGATCAAGCCCCGACGGCCCCTTGAAGAA